GGCCCATCAACAAAAGTTCAGCAATTACTTTCAAAGAATTATTGGGTCGGGCTAGAGTCTAGGTGATCATTATCTAAGTTCTGGTTTTCCAAGGTGGCACAAAAAAAGTCCTATTGCTTAATCTCTTTTGTCTGGGACTTGTTTCTGCTTAGGGAAGTTTCTGCATTGTGGAGGCCCTGTTGAAATCCAAGGAGATTATAGTTTTAGGGCAATGACCAGAAAGTTCTGGGAATCCACTAGTAGTTGAAAATCCTTGCCATCTCTTTTCTTGGTGTATTCCATTTAGAAGGGGAAGGAGATAGGTTAAGTAAATTTAAGGCTAAAATTTGGTACTGTTAACTTTTAGACAGAGTACTTATATACGCAGATAAGTAAAACTTAAGGTAAAAAAAATACAAAATCAAGGTCAATTTTATTCTGCTTTTAGTTATTCATTGGGCATTAACAGATCCAAATGAAGAATCACTGTATTGCTTTGTTTTGTTTTTATTTTAGCAAAATAAGGTTTCAAGTCCTCAGTGCCTCACAAGAAAACACAAATCATGCTTTTAGTGGTAAAGGGCCCAGGAGTTTTTCCTCAATCTCAGTGGTGGTCTCCTTCTTTGAGTCTCTTCTTCAGACAAGCAGTCATTCCTATGTGCTTGCAATTTCTTCTCCAAAGACTCCGAGATACAAATGTGACCACTCTGAGGCTTTCTTTCTTGTCTGCTTGGTATTTCTCTGTTCTGAGGGTGGATTGTCCATACCCACTACTACTGCTGTGACAGGTGTGGAGTACTTGTCTCAGTTGTGACCACTAAGAATAAAACAAGCTTTCTGTTCACCATATTCTCCCACCACCATTGTGGTTTTACCTCTGTAACTCTTTCTCCAAGATTCTGGAATTGGGGTAGAAAAGAGGGCCCACTTTCTACTCAGCTCTGTGACACATTCAGCATTTTCTGTAGTCAGTTCATTCATTAGCTCACTGGGGCAGCCCTCCCTCAAGGAACCTCTCAGTACAGAATAGCATGGGTCAGAAACTACCAACCATCAGGAATGAGCCTGTCTCTCAGCCTTTGGAGGCTCTGGCCAACTCATGATCTTTGCATGTCCGTCTTCTTGGGGAGTAACTTCACTGTCTACCTAAAACTACTGAAGAGTAGCCTGCATTTCATTTCCACTGCATTCAGCCCAGGAACTTGTCAATGGCTCCAGAGCACACTTGCACCATCTCTGTCAGAAGCGCTTGAAGTCCCTATATAATTGGACCTTCAGGAAGTCCCAGGTGGGCCCTGATGGTCTATAACTGGCTGTACAGATGAAACTTTCACCTGAAATAATACCTTCCAGGGGCAATTCTTTACCTTGGTCACCATTCATATGAATATACAGCCTAACAGGAAAACAAGTGCTAAGCTGTAATGTAACAATGAACACTGTACCGAAAGCACCTTGTGAGGCAGCTTATGCAAGGCAAGTGACATCTCAATAATAGAATTTACCAAGATGAGAATAAGAAAAGACAAGAGTTTCTTCAGATCAGACTTCATTGTCAAGAGGGACAGTGGCATGTTTCCAAGAGTGGAATTGCTCCATCAGGGTAAGAGGTTGGGATTCTTATAAGGGATTAAAACATGGGACTGGGTCTCAGTGAATGTGGATATCTCAGAAGTACATTTTCTAGAACATCTTATTCCTTGTTAATCATCCAAGACTACCTGCACTGTAACTAAAGTTGTACAGCAAAGGTGGGGCCAATGGGATCATTTACCATGGCCTCATGGAAAGTGCCTTCTTTTAATCTCATGTTGCTTTGGCTAGTGTTAGTCCATTATTTAATAACTACTTAGTACATGCTGGGCAGGGTTGTTTTAATGAGGGCATTTTACTGCTGAAGATTTTAATCCTTATGTTGACAATGAATCACTGAATCTTTCCCTAACAAATCAGCAAAGTCAACCCATTGACAAGGACAAAATGCTCACTTCTGCAACTTCTTTGAGCTGAATGGAGTCATCATTAAGGGCCCTTTGAGTTTTCTTACCTATCAGAGATTATGGACCCTTGTGAATTTTGAGCATACAACTGTTGAGTAGCTTGATTCAGAATCAAAAGACAAAAAATTTGCTCAGAAGAACTGAATACTTATTTTGCCACCATTTGGAGATGAATTTTCTGTAGCTTGGAAGACACAAACTTGACCAGGCACTTGAGTAGACATGAGCCACAAAGGAGACATATGGTGGCAACAGACGCAGTGTGTATTATAAAAAAGAGAACAATGTCTGGTCACTTGTGTTCCTCTAACCATGGATTCTTAGTTTTATAAACATTGTACATTTACATAGCATATTTCACCCTTAGACATATATTTATTTTTAGTCTCAAATGCATAGAGTGTTAAATATACTATACCACCTTAAAAATAATATTTATTTAATCAGCCTTATATCATTTCACAAAGCAATAATTAAACAACTCCTGATTCTTGTTAACCTCAGTCCTTTTTAAGATAATACAAATTCTATTAGTAGAAAATAGAAGAAAGTATCTCACTGAAACACAACCTTTGTTTTTAAGGTATTTGAGTAAATTTTTATTGAGAGCAAATCCATGTATTAAGAAAATCTCATTGTTTTTGTTTTATGACCAGCATTTCAAGAAATGTCTCACTAAGCATACAGGCAAGAATGCAACCACTACAGAGAATATTATTTTGCCTAGTTCCCCACATCCTTTAAATAATATGGTAAGCATTTTGGTGCCTATTCTCTTTAAAATGCACCTTTGACTTGGCAAGTGTTTTGGAAACAGAAAGGAAGCATTTGGGGCATAGTTTTGAATGTCCTAATTTTCTCAGGGGTGATACAGATATCATCTTCCCATGTCTGAACCCCCAAGCACATCTTATCCTGCCATCTTCCCTGATGTCCCATGGGCAGCACAAGAGGATTCATATCATAAGCAAATACCACAACAACAATACCAAAAACAACAGACTGTGAAAGCCTTCGTGACAGAGCAAGAAGACTGAATAAAACATTTTTCCAGATAGTCAGTGTGCTTGTGAGTACTGATAAGACCATATTGACTCTTGGGCACACCCCATATTCACAGAGCATAGAGATATGACTGCCATGTTCTATACCACAGAGAGGAAGATCTCCTTTACACCTACCTGTGTGAAGCTGAGTTCACCCAGCCCATCACACACAGTATACCCTAGCACAGGCTTAGTTATATTTATTTATTCTCATATCAGGCAAAGACCCAGTGTTGAGTGTCATTAAAAGCAGGTAAGTTTATTTTTAAGTCCATAGAGCAAATCAATGTTAAATGAAGAGAATTAGATTCTAGTTTTATATCTGTTCATTCATATTTGATTTTAGAGACCTCTAAATAATTTTTAAATTGTAACTTACACATAAAAATTTCCCTTTACAAGATTCATCTTTCACAAAACTTTTTTTGACTTACTCTTTCTGTAACTTTAATTTTCTATTTTTGTCCTCAACTTTTCTTTCCCCCACCCCTCAGTTTGGTTTGGTTTGGTTTGGTTGGTTCTTTCTGTCATTCGAGTAGTACAGAATTTTACCATCCATAATCCTCTTTATCTTTTTTTTTTTTTTTTTGCCTTAAGGATCTGCATACTCATGTCTTTCTTAATATCTCTTCTACTCATTGATTTTTAGTACAAGTTTTGTGGTCATTTGAATTTTAAAATGTTCCTGGTCCTTTATTTGTATGTCAGAGTTAACTTATACATGTTACATTTTAATTAAGGCTGGCTGAATAACAGACTTCCAAGTAACCTAGATGAATAAATTATCTTAGTACAAGAATAAGATAGAAAGAAGAGTAAAGATGTTACATTTTATCTAAGGCTGACAAATCTTGAAGTGTTTACATGCTATTGAATGACAAAAACCTAGTTGAAGTAGACCTTGGGGATAGGGCCAAAAGGGCTGGGGTCACTAGTTTCACTTTCGAGTGAGTCATGGCACCGGGGCCACTGTTTCCAGCTGATATGGTTGCTCAGAAATGCATTTTTACAGACATCCTGTTCCTTGGTAACATTCCAGGAGCACCTGCATTGTAATTAAGTTTCCACATGAAAGTGTCACTGGGCTGGGTCTGAGGGGTTCCAAAGCCTGAAATAAGGAACCTAGCCCATCCTTTTAAAATCAGTTTGCCAGTTCACCAATTTCTGTTGCAGACAAAGAATTTTCAGGACCCATCAGCGAAAGAGACATGAGAAGGGTTGATTAGGATGCACTAAATGAATGGAGTGCCGGTGCTCAGAGAAATGAGACCCTTTCCAAGCCAGAGTGGGTTCAATGAAGGTCCGCGCTCCAGACAGGTAGTCTAGGATGTGTCTCCCGCTGTCAGGGGTCAGGTTACAATGCAAGGCATCTGCGTGTGTATGAGGTTGAGGTCTGCTGCACACCAATGCTGCTGCTTCTGAGGATGGAGCAAGTATAATTCATGGTGAAAAGGGTGAGGCTAAGAGCCCTGATTTACAGGCTCACTGTAAAATGACATTTAGGAGTTTATTCTGGCTGAGTTTCCTGAAAGGGAAAAAGGCTTGTCTTGAAACTGCAATTTCTCATAAAAGTACAATCTCAAAATCCTCCTTGTCTCCTTTCTACAAAATTTTTATATTTTCAACTCTACCACAAAAGGAGTAAACTGACAAGGTCACTACTTTGGCCTTGCACAGGCCTTTTTCACTGAAAGATTTATTTTTAATCTCTTGTTGTTTTGGTCAGAGTTGATGCATTGTCTAATGACTGCTTGGTAAATGCTGACCAGGATTAATTAGGGAATGTACCTGGGAAAGTTTCTAATCAAAGGATAGTCACCACAGAAAGGTGTTCCTGAATATCTCATTTTGGCCAAGAAACAAAACTGTGCAAAGCATTTGGGAAATAGAATCCAGGAATCTTCGGGTGTTCCCTGGGAAGTTTGTTTTCATATTCTTCCTGCTCTACTGCTTTCTGCCCCGCCCTCCTTTCTGGTAACACTAAGGATATAAATTGTCCTGTGTGCGCAACACAGCAGAGGCCAAAATGAAGACCAGCACAGTCTTGGTTCTGGTAGCTTTTGTTGCCATAGGGATGGACATGGCCTGTGCTTGGACACATAATCAATCATGTGAGTGTGCTGAGGGTATCCCTGACAGCAGAGAAGCCTCAGAGGCCAGCGCTGGTCTTGAGGACAGATGGAAAAGACAGAGGGCATATACCCACTGCTTAGATTAGATCAGACCCGCTTCCTTTGACTTATGGGGGTGGAACCCTGCATTTCCAATCATTCTCAGAATGAGGTGTATCTGACAGAATTTGGGGGAAGAGGGCATCTCTGACAAGGAGATGTGACTTGGATGTGGCATTCCTGGGCCAGTCACTCCAGGCTAAACAAAGTCTATCTGTGACCTGGGTGACAAGGCAGGTTTCTTTCCTGCTGAGACTGTGGGCTTTAACGAACTGCAGGGAGAACACTCTCTCAAGGACTAGGTGGTGAAGATGGGCGGGGGGAGGGGGGTATACTGACAATGGAGGGAGTGAAGTGGGTAATGAGCCCAACGGCACAAAGGAGGAAATAGAAGCTAGAGTCCAGGCAGTGATGAGGTGATTCAGACATTCACCACCCATTTTCACCCCTGTCTTGGTTTAAAAAATACAATTGTATTTTCCAGGGAAACGAAAACTTGGTGCCTGCCCTAAGCTACCTAAAGGAAACACTGGGTTTTGTGTTGAAACTTGCTCAGGAGATTACTCATGTCCCGGAGGAATGAAGTGCTGCAGGAATGATTGTGGTCGTGTTTGCAAACCTTCTGTTTTCAGAGTGAGTATAAACCTATCAGGAGTCGTCCAAGAAGAAAGCTGACAACTGCCCGGTATAATTTGCTGGGGCAGATTGGAGATGCCTTGTCCAATACAGATGCAAGTCTAAGCAATTTCAAGAAAAATGAGCTAGTTATATTATCTAAAGCCTTCCCCTAGCCAAGAAAGCACCTAGGGACTCAAAAGAAGCAAGTAACATAACCTGCCTTACATTTGCAGGGTTGTGACTCATCAGAATTTCACACTCTCCTTTTCCCCTACTCAAACAAAAAGGTTTAGCTGTTTTGAGAAAATAGGTGATCCTGGTAGGAAGATTGGAAGAAATGTGAACCTCAAACTATTTAAGTAACTTCCATGTCACACAGACATATGTTGAGATTCAAAGATAAACATAACCAAATTGAGGAAAGAAATGTGTATTACAATTCTGTGGTTTGCACACATTTCTACTAAATTCAATGGAAGCAAATAGAGGGTCTTTAGGTAGCTGGAGAAGGTGAGGAAGTCATTCCAGAGTAGAGGACATGTAGGGAAGAGCTTACAGCAGACCCAAATTCTGCCAGACAGGAAAGGGCAGTTCAGATGGTGAAATAAATGTGAACCCTCCTCGGGAGAAGGGAAATGAACAGTAGTGGGTAATAGTTGCAGTGATTAGGGGGTCACTTTAACAAGCCAGAGCTCTCACAGTAGCAAGTTGCTGCCAGAGAGTGTGAGTGCTAACCAGTTGGAGGTTTCTCAGCAGAAAGAATGTCATCATCAAATCTGTTTTGTAGAACAGTAACTCCGACAGCCATATGAAACATGGGTAGGACAAGCATATCTAGTCCTGGAACACTTCTCAGGAATCCATGAATCCGGTGCCTGCTTGCAGCTCTAGAAGATGAGGGTCTACAATGGTGGGGTGACTGCTTTCAAAAGCTTGTGCCCAAATAAACTGCATCTGTGTCATTATTCAGTCTGAGTCATTCTTTCCATTGAGCCATTCCATCGACACTCACTCTAACAGAGCCATCTGTGACCTCTGCGGATACTCCCATGAGTACAAAGCCCTCAGGATACCAGCAGGCCAGAGACAAAGTCTTCCTACATAATCCTTTTCCTCTTGCCATGTCTGTATCTCCAATCAAGGCAACGGGCATAACAATATTTCCTTGGGCTTTCTGTGAACATCCTTTCAGTCAGACAAAGAAAACTAGATGAAGATGTCCCATAGAGCAGGCCTCCTGGAAAAGCCTTTACAAGGAGAAGACTCATGAGAAGTAGAAAGAGGTGGGGGATATTTCACTGTAAGGCAAAACACTAACATCCAGATGGCTAACTTCAGGAGAGGACACTGAGCCTTGGGATGGGGGCTTTAAGAGTCAGGAGGCATCAATTCCTCCATGGAGTGAGTAGAACATGTTATTATACAGCAATGCCTGCAGGAATTTTGGCCTCAGTCCCAATCATTTGCGAACTGCAGGGGGAAAGAACAAGGACTCACCAAGAAGCAAGCCCCTCGCTGTGAGCCAGCACCATGCTCAGGCTACTGCCAGCTGGCAAACAAGAAGGACCAATCCCTTTCCCACATAGGCAAATGGCTGATCTGGAGACACACAGGCTGCGATGGTAGTTATTGAGATGAAATGCAATTGGACACTTGTGGTGTTTTGGTGTTTCACTGACCTTGCAGGTCTGGGGACAGTGGTCTGGTCATCTGTTGAGGGGATGGCAGTACATAGTGTGCCGTCGGGTGGGGGATCTCTTTCTGGGAGTGGTGGCCATTGTTGATTCCTTATTGTCTTATTTTGAAGTCCTGTATCATTTTCATTGTTTTATTAGGTTGGGTTTTGTTCTGTTTTGTTTTGCTTGATTTTATTATATCTGATAGCATTAGCAGCCATTTCAAAGAAAGCAGGATATGTTATGGTAGCCATTTTAGATTTACTACTGTCTTGTTTTTAAGCCTTTTATTGCATTCATTGTTTTGTGTTTATTGGTTCTATTCTGTTCTTTTCTGTTCTGTTTGATTTTTACTATGTTTGAGGATATCTGTAGCTATTTTGGAGAAAACAAGAGGCATTATGGTAACTATATTTTGTATTGTTTTGAAGTCCTGTGTCACTTACACTGGTTTATTTTGATTGGTTTTATTCTGTTTTATTTTCCTTGATTTTATCCTCTTTAAAATAAGAAATATATGCAAAGGATGATCAAAAGACATGGTGAATGCTTAAATTTTTAAGTTTATTAGAGTAAGAGACATATTGTCTTTTATTTAGAGAAAAAAGCAAAACAAAAAAGGGTAGAAATACCACAGAATTTCAAAAATTAACAATAAGAAATGACTAGTCAAATAAATAACAGTAAGAAATCACCAATTGATAAATTGCATATTTTTATCTTAGAAGTAGTTATTCAAGTTACAAAATCAAAGCATTAAAAATGGACAAACAATCAAACAATGACAGTACAAACTATTCTGTTTGATGAACTAACAAAAACTTAGTAGTATGGTTATCTATCTTGTACACTTAAAACATACATACAGTTATATCCTTTAGAGCACTTTCTTTCCCTTTCATTATTATATCGATTATATATTTTGGATTTTATTACTCTTTCAGTTTTTATTATTATTTTTATACTAGAGAGATGATACAATATTTACAAATGTGAGCCTGACTTATTTCACTTATGAAGACGGTCTCCAATTTCCTCCATTTACCTATAAAAGCCTCAGAATCCTCCTTTTTATAGCCAAGTAATATTCCATTGTATAAAAATACCACATCTTTTTAAGACATGTTGTCTTTAATCCCCTTCAAATATTCCCCCTCACTCGTACACACTTGTCCCACCATGGATGCAACTTTCTGAAGCAGTCCTACAAGTTTTTTATTGTGAGTGTCTGTCTAAACATAGTACAGTGAACACTGCAGCCAAGTGCCACCCAAACAAAAGGCAGGTTTGTAAAAACGTTACAGGGTGTCCTTATGCCCCTTTTCACTGAATCTGGAACCATGTGATTTCTGGCTCTTCGCCAAAGTCAAGCAATCAAGAAGTAAACGTTTTGAATCACTGTAGAACGCTGAGGCAACCCTGACAACACAACTAAAGATCCCGATGAAGGAGGATGTCTGGAGCTGCTTCAGAAAGTGGCAGAAGTGTCCCTGAAGTGAGGGGGAGTTCTGCGGGGCCACCAGGAATGAGGTTTTTACTACAATGAACTTTTTAAAAGTTAAACATCATACTTGCTGCTCACACCTTGCATTTATTGTAGAAGATAAAATGATGATTGAAGCAGACAATATCTATACTAGCTGCATGCTCTGAAAATCCAGCCAAGGTATAGCTATCAAACATTTGGAAAGATCTAACTATTTTTTGTTTGCAAAGTAGCTAGGGAAGTAAATTTCTTAAAAATTACAAAGGCAGTTTAGAATATCTAGGTTAACGTAAATAGCTTTCCATATTGCAGAATTCTTTTTATATTTATCTTGCTAGTTCATAATTGCTTCAGCCCACCTATTTAGGAGATTGCAAACTACAGCCATAATAAAAGAATCACTGGAAGAATTCTGAGATCTTTTGAGCTTTCTATGAAAGCTCACCAGAGTCACGTGAGACACACGATGGCAAAGTTTGAAATACAGTATCATATCAAAGTTGACATTTTCTAAATGTGGACACTTTCTGGATCATCTTGGGACTAGATGAGCTTTTAAAGACAAATTTCTTACACAATTACCTTCATACTAACTAAAAATAAAGTCTAAAGCTTCAGGTTCATCCACTAATAATGCAAACTAAGCACAAAGAGCCACAACATAACACTACTTTCTCTCAAAGGTGGTGGGATAAGCATAATGACTTTATTACAATGCATAAAAGGGAATGAAAGAATATGATTTCAAAGCAGCTACTCTGGGACAGGATTTGGGAAAACTGAAAGGAAGAAATACTATTCATAGTAGACACCTATAGATGATAATCCAAATAAAGAAGAGTCCAAGGATAGTACATACACAAAGGTCTTAGTATCAAGTAACTATTAGAATAAATGGAAAATCTTTTCAATCCTAAAATGTGGGGCTGAGAGGCAGGATCAGTGGTAAAAACAATTGCCTATCATGAATGAGGCCTTTTATTCAATTTTTGGCCAAGGAAAAAGAACAGAGTAAGAGAAAGAGAGTTCACAAATAAGATAGATTACGTAGTGGAAGTCATCAATCAAACTAATAAAAAGGAACAGGGATAAACCATTCAATTAAGAGGAGTTCTTATCTTTTAGAGACAAATACAGGATGAAGTCATTTCATGCCTGATTTGCTCAAAAAATGATGTAAGATGAGGGAAATGGGCAGTGTTGAAAATGCATGAATGAGCATATTTTAATAATGGATGAAACTGTGAGGGGATATGGTCAGTCATTCACTGGTCGGTCTGCTTAAAATTCCCACAATAAATAGGAAAAAACAAAGTGATGCTGAGAAGCATTTCATATATTTTAAAGAGTAAAATATGGACTTATGAACATGTTCATTCACATAGACACAGAAGTATGGAAAAATACACTGAAAGATTAACAGTATTGTTTTTCTGGGTAATGACACAAGAAGCTAGTTATTCATTCTATATATTTCAGACTGTAGGTCTTACTTTTCAACTATAAATATGTATTTGGAGGAGACAAAAACATGAAAAAGTTATTTCCAAAAAGAAGTTCTCATTGAAAAGTCCAATAGTTACTAAATGTAATTGGAATAATGATGAAGGAGTAAATATTTTAAAATAAAATCTAAAAGCACCCAGCTCTATGTTGTTTAAAGTTTATACTGAACACTCTCAAAGCTATCCTCAAGTTCATTACTATTGAAAATATGTTTGGGATATTGAGTAGGACCAATTGTATATTCCCAGTAGGCTGAGTAAATCATTATTAAAGAACTCAGGTGAAGCTCTTAAACAAATGCACATTGTGTAAGTCACCATAGTGTAATAATAATATTTTGAGCTACTGCTTCACCATTTAAACATCACATGCACACATGCACGCACACAAATATGCATGCACACAGGACTAAGGCATCAAACCATTCCAAAGGAGAATCTATAGTCTTCAACAAGTGATACTGGGTGAATATCTACATGCAAAAGAATAGCTATACCACAACATATGCAAAAATTGACACAATATGGGTCAAAGACCTAAAGATAAGCACTAATATTTTTAAATATTAAAAGAACATTTAGATATAAATCACTGTGATTTTATACTGTGCTACAGTATTTTAAATATTATACTAAAAATAGAAACAACAAATGTAAAAAGAACCAAACTGCATCAAAATTAAAAACCTTAATGCATCAAGGGACATTCTCAAGAAAATAAAAATATACGCATAGAATGGGAAAAAGTATTTACAAATCATGTACTTGGTAATAGTCAGGTATTCAGAATATGTAAATAACTCCTATAATTCATCATCAAAAAGCAAAGTAACCCAGTTTAAAAATGGTGCAAGACTTCTATAGCCATATCTACCATGAAAGCATACAAATGATTAATAAATGCATGACAAAATGCTCAACTTGATTAGTCACTAGGGAAATGCAAAACAAAACTGTGGTGAGCTACCATTTCAGTGTCCATTAGGATAATTAGAATTAAAAAGTTAGGTTCCAACTTGGGTTTGTAAAGATACAAAAAAGTTGGAACCCCCAACTCACTGATAGGGGGAATGTGAAATGGTTCAGCCTCTGTGGAGAACAACTAGTCAGTTCCTCAGCAAGTTCAATGTAAATTTTTCATATAAATGATAAATTGACTTGAAAACATATGTTCACACAAAGTGGGCACACAAATGTTCAAAGGAGCATTATTTCAAATATCTCCAAAGTGAAAAGAACTAGAATGTTTCTCAACTGGGGGATATTTAAGAACATATCTATAATGGAATATTATTTCCTTGT